CGAAAGTCTTTACGAGACACGTAGAAGGAATAGGAGTCAGATGTTAGGGCAACATAAGAGACTAGTCTTTGAGAATTAGATTGAAAGAAATTGTGGTTATTTTTGTTTAGCCATGAGCCCTTCAAAGCTTTGTGTAACCCCGACTGAATCAGCACGTCCTTCACTTGCACTTGCCACAAGCCAAAGTTGATTTTTCCGTCGAATTTCTCCACATCAAATCTCGCCAGATTCGATATCTTATTTCCAGACATCTTCGTGAATCAGTGAACACTAACTTCGCAGAAAACCGAGCAGCAAGCTTTAATAGTACTGATCAGATAAATTCTCAGGGAGGGTAGCGACCTGCCCCCTAAAGAATTACCCTTCTAAGTAAGCTCCCAGGAAAGGCTGGTGGGGTCACAACGGTCCCACTTAAAAAACCAGTCTCCTAGACAGAACCTACTTACACAGTAATTATTCCCCACTGCCCAAAAAACTCCTTTGCACACAAGCTCCACCCGTCACTAGCTCCACCGCACGAACAGACCTCTTTGGTATCTTTTCTGATGTGGAAGATCAGACAAAACTGCAACCACAGAGCATACTCAGAATACCAACTAGGCTAACCTCGCTCTTGATGCCACTAGTTGGGAATTCTGACCACACCGAAACTCCGCCCAAGATCCGCTGGAAATAATAAAACTGGAGAACACAAAGTTTAACGTGGAAAACCCTCTGTTAACGAAGAGGGAAAAACCACTAGGGCAACAAGGCCGTAAAAAATCCACTATGTAAAAAATTACAATCACATAATTTTTCTACGCTCACTTATACCCAAAATTACCCCACAGAATTTTCTATCTGTTAACCTTAACTCTCACCCTAAGGGATTTTTAACCAGAGATTAAATGTTAACACAATAACTCTGTGGGATAATTTTACATAAGAAGTAGCACCTTCTTATATAGGGAAAAAAATCCCCTCCTCTCTCATCCCACTTTCGATGTGGGACAAAAGAGCAAAAACTCAACAGAATCTCCCCTTCACCGGCGGCGGCAGAAGATCATAATGGATCACATATCCGGCGCCGGCAGGGTCACCAAGTCATGGGTCCCATCCTCTTCTTGCAACCTCAATCAGCCGTCTAAACAAGCAGCACCGCCTCAGCTTGCCCAAATCAACATCCCTCCCGACATCAAACAAACCCCCGTCCCCAAAAACTGGGATTATTGGAACCACTGCAAATCCACCATTAAAGGCTACTCCCATTAAACTAAAGTGATTTTGTATACGAATTCCGTTGTCTCTTGTCACGGTAAAAGCTTCCGTTGGATCCCCAGCGTGCCCTTTCAAGTCGCTACCTTCTCATCGGTGCCCGATTATTGGGAGAAGGAAAGTAAAGGAAATTATATCTGGAGCCTTATGGTGGTAACAGGCATCTCCTCTCCAGCTTTTTTGTTTTACAGAGAGGATTACAAAACCAGAAAATCTCGGTTGAGACACAAGGACTGCAGAGTAATCGAGCCTTACTCGGCTGCCAATGAGTATATGGAGTTCACGAATGCAATCGGGCTCGATGGAAAATTCTACGCCATTAGCCGACAGGGGAGTCTTGCCGTAATCGAGTACAAATATGATGATGATGATGATGATGATGATGATGATGATGATGATGATGATGATGATGATTGTAGGGATTATGAGATTACTTGCTTGGGAAAAAACCGGGCAGTTCCTAAAACAGCTTCGAAACACTTTAGGGAGTACTTGATTGAGTATAAAGGTGAAATCTTTCTGGTTCTGTTGGTGTCGAGGGGTTCGGTTGATGTAGTGGATGATGTTGAGGTTTTCCGGTTGGATAAGTCGAGGTTGTGCTGGGAGACGGTTGTGGAGATCAGTTGCCGGAGGATGTCGTGTTCTTTGTCGAGGATAAGTGTTGTTTGGGGGTTCCGACGAGTTTGTTGGGGTGCAAAAGTGGGAGCAACTGTTTTTACTTCACTCACGGTGGAGCCGAGTCTTGGTTTCGTTTCGACATGGGAACGAGCTGCATTTCGGCTACAGCCGGACCGGAACTCTATCTTGATCTTCGGATCTGATAGATGGTTCTAATAATCAAAGTGTTGTTGAAAGTTTTGTGGTTTTGTTTTCATTTTGAGTCTTTGATGCTGATGATTATGGTTTCATGTTTGTTTTTGTTTGGATAAAGGAAAAAAACAAGGAACCTTTTTTTGAGTGAAGGTCTGAACCGTGGGCCAGAATCACGTGCATATCTGGCAATCGCGTCTTCTTCTTTCTTATCAATGTTGCGCACCATTTAAGCTTGCTCTGGTGCTCTGGTACCATGAAGAGCTAAGAATCGTCGCCATTTACAAAGAGAAATTGGGGCGAATTTTTTGTAATTTTATTTCACAAAAAACTCAACCAAGACGACGATGCTTACATGTAGTCTCACACTAGCCATACTAACCAATACGAGCACGACACGTGCTAGCCAAGCTGGCAAGAGAAAAGAAAGAAAAAGTGACGTGCTTCTATAAGTAAAACGCGCCTTTGCTTATGAAAAGAAAAAAAATAAAAAATAAAAAATAAAAACAAACTTTAGGGGTCGTTTACTTTTAGGGATAAGACAAGATAATTAAATAGTCATGCGTTTACTTACCGAGATTTAGATGGGACTGAGTGATGTGGTGCACATGTGGCATCTCACTTGCAATTGGAAATCAGGTATTAGCTGATAAAAAATCCAACCCCCCATGTGATAAATATAATCCCACCTTACCATTCCCATTTTGCCCTCACTTTTGCATTGGAAAAGACCGAAACACCCCTCCATTTGCACAAAATTACAGATTCGTACCATATAAAATCTGAAAACTTGCCATTTTGCCCTAATTTCTTCATCGACGAGCACGAGAGGAATTCTGAAAATTTCAAAAATTGCATCGGTCTTGTTCTTTCAATTGGTCCAAGGTATGTTTGAAATTCCATCAAAAACTGGGTTCTAATCCGATTATATGCAACCATTGTGATTTTATTGTCGATTATTCTAATTTTCAAGGATTCGAAATTAATTTTTTTTTTCTTTTTGCGCTGAAGAAACGACACTATGTGGGGGTTGCGGAGGAATCGTTGGGTTCGGTTTTGGGTGGAGGTAAACAGGTGTCGTGCACGAATATATTTTGCACACCCGTCTATCAACGTCGGATGTCGTACAGGTCCGAAATCCGGTCGTCGCGGCTTGTACCCGAGGCCAACGTCTCGTCGTCGCGGCTTGTCGTCAGAATTAGGGCTCTACCATCTACAGAAATTAGGAGAGAAATGGTACCTGAGGAGAAGAAAAGTGTAAAGGCTACAGAAGGGTAAAGTGGTCTTTTGTTGTTTTATCATCTCACCTAATCCAATGAAGTAAATGAGGGATCCGTTTCTCAAAAATTCATCCCTCAATGACGTGTAAAGTTATTCAGATTAATTTGTCTTATCCTGTCACTCAAAGTAAATGAGGCCTAGGGAGATTCTATAGTCCCGTAACCGTTAGATCAACTATCTATGACGGTTACATGATAATCTAACAGTTACAATTCCGGACGAAATGATTCCGTAACAGGACTGTAGCATTTCCCTAAACTTTAACCCGCTAACCAACTTAACTAACTATAATAACATATAGAAAAAGCATGGGAAAAACAAGGAAAAAAACATAACTCAACAACACAACTCACTACAATTGTGGCAAAAGTAAAAAAAAAAATATTTGGTCAAAATCCCCATATCTATATATATATAATTGCTTGCTCATGAACATTTAATAAAACCTATTAAATTATACCTATGTGGCAATATAATTTTTTCCCTCTAAAAACCGTTACTTTTTATTTATTTAACCTCTCATTTAATTATTATATAATCAACACAATAATCTCTTCAAAATTACAAAAAAACATTTTAAATTTTTGATTTACTTACAGCTGACCATATAATGTGTTGACTATTTAACGTGATTAGATGTTATTGTTGTGATTATATTTAAATTAAATTCTTTTGGAAGATAAAAAACGTATTTGAAATTCCTAAATAAACAGTAAATAATTCACAAAAAAAAGATACATATCAAAATATAATTACATCTAATATGATAAACACAATTTAAAAAATAAATATTTCAGCTCCTTTGATTGTAAATTTGACATCATTAACCATTATATGCCTACGTATAACTCACAATACTTTATTTATATATCTGTGAAAATGTACAGGTCGAATATTAGTTTCGAAATTTCAAGTGGAACTAATCAATATGGGTCAAAATTGCAAAACCATTAAATTAGTGCACACATGTCTTCCTTGGTGGCCAAGGCCAGGTCACTCGTCCAACTCTGCAAGTTATCCCGATTAAAGGCCTAAGGGCATCTTTAACAAGAGGTTTTGGTGAGGTTTATAAACTTCACTTTTAGAGGTTTAACTACTAGAGGAGGAAGGTTTAAGGTTTACAAATGTAAACCAGGTTTACATTCTTAAACCTCATATAAACCTCAATAAAAAATATTAAAAGTACAAAAAGTGGAATTGTAATGTAAAAATATTAGTAAAAATATAAGAGTATAATGTTGAGTGGGAAACATGTGGGACCATACAAAAGAGGTTTATAGATTTTATTATTATTGGAGGTTTATGTGTGTAGGAGTAAGAATGAAGTTTTGAATGATGTGGCATGTTGGGAAGTGTAAAATGAGGTTTATGAAAATTTATTGTTAGAGATGCTCTAAACAGAAAAGTTCTGTCCCTCAAAGGATTTATGCTTGGAGGCCACGCGAAAGTCCCCATTAAAAACCCTCCATTTCTCTTGATACATCACAATCAAGCACAACAAAGGTACATCATAATTTCCTTGAGCTGCTCTTCATATCTCGAAACTTTTTCCTTTTCTTATTTTCGTTTCTTGATCCGACCTCTGTTTTCGAGCAGGAACAAGGCAAATGGGGGACAAGAAGATGAAGAAGAGAGAGAAAAAATCATCCCCAAGAAAGGCGGCCGCCGGCGGCCGCCGGGACGTCAAGCCGGAATCCGAACATCCGAGCCTCCCAATCACCGTCGGTGAAAATGTCTGGCGACGGAAGGAGTTTATACGCGTCAACAATTCGGGATCCGGCGTGGTCACCAAGTCATGGATTGTCCCATCTTCCTCCCATTGCAACCTTAATCAGCCGCCGCGTAAACATTCGTGGCCTCAGCTTGCCCTAATCGACATCCCTCCCGAAATCCGAACAACCGACGTTCCCGGAAAATACAGCCTCAAGGGTTTTTTCCATCGACGCCAAGCGAAATTGTATTCTAGCGATAAATTTCTCTGGGGCACGCACTATTACAGTCTCTGGACCCCGGACTACAGTCTGCGCGGTGACAGCAGTGTCCACTTCAGACGCTGCCTGAGCTCCGGCGGCGCTCAATTCGTCATAACCGGCCTTACTTCACCGGCTTTCGCATTCCCTAAAGGAGTCGACGAATATTGGGTCGGCAAATTCAGATATTACAGGCGTTATGTGTCGATAATGAAGAACTGCACGGTTATCGAGCCTTTCTCAACAATCGATCATAAATACATGGAGTTCACAAACCTTACCGGGCACCAAGGGAAATTCTACGCCATTAGCCGGCAGGGCAGCCTCGCGATTATCGACAGGGATGACTCGGGGGATTACGAAATTACCCGTTTGGGGAAAAACCGAGCCGTTCCTGGTAAGGCATGCCGGCACTTTAGGGAGCATTTGTTCGAGTACAAAGATGGAATCTTTTTGGTGTTTTTGCTGTCGAGGGCTTCGGTGGATGTGGTGGATGACGTGGAGGTTTTCGGGCTGGATGAGTCGAGTATGTGTTGGAAGAAAGTCGAGAAGCTTCCGGATGATACCGTGTTTTTTGTGGAGGACAAGTGTTGCTTGGGGGTCTCGGCGAGTTTATTTGGGTGCAAAAGGGGGGAAAACTGCGTGTACTTTGCGTACGAGAGGGCCGATACTTGGTTTTGTTTCGACATGAAAACGAGCCGCATTTCGGCTACAGAGGGACCCGTGGACGATCTTGATTAACTCAGTTAGTTTGAATTTTCCAGCGGAATTTTCATATAATGTTTGTTTGAAAGTGGTGGCAAAAGTTCCATGCTTTACTTTTTTGTTGATTTCTGAACTATGTGAGATGTTCATTAGTAGTTTCAACTGGAAATTGATGAACTATCCGTATATGCTTTAACAATTTTGTTTTTGTAACAAGATGAACTGCATTTATCTTATGGAACGAAAAAACTTAACTTAATTTGTTCGACAATCTTGAATCATTCATTTTGCTATCTTAACAAGGGATGGTGTATTTACATTGGAAAGGTGAAAATCCAGTGTTTTTTTCCAATGGAATGAACTTTGCAATCCCATTTGTAAGATTTTCCTATTGTTATAGAAAGCGGAAGATGCTTCGAATGAGTGAAGCATGAGGATTTTCAAGCCAAAATGGCTGTGGAATTGAAACAGAGACGATGAAAACTAAAACTTCCTCATGCTAACATTTGAATGATCGGTGATCACGAATTAGGGGAAAAAACGAACACAACTTTCTTAGAAAATCATACTTTCGATGATTGGCAAGTGACTTTTCTGGCTAGTTATTGATCTTCTTAATCAATTGGTCTAAGATTCCTTTGTTTTCCTTGGCCTCATCACTTGGTGTAAGATTTTCGCATTGTGGATGAAGTTTCGCTCTTCAGAGTCCTTTTTGTGGTGGCCGGCCGGGATTTTCTCCTTCATTTTCTCTAAGAAGCCTTTCTTGTGCTCTTCAGTTTCTCCTTTAGCATTTTTCTCTTCATAAACATATCCTTTTCTCCTTTGTGATCGCCGGATATATATTTTTTTCCTTGATCGTCTCGTTTATACCCTTTTTCTTCTTCTTTTTTCTTTCTCCACCCTCTTCCACTTCTTCTCCGCTAGACTGAAAATATTTCGTGCCAAAAGTAAACAAAATTTATAATTAAATGTTGTTATGAAAGAAAGTCTAAAATCTTGGAACCAAACTTACGGAGCTCGAGTGGGTATGAGTACATTGAAGCTCGTCCATCAGAGTATGTTCTTCCCCTTTGCTTTCTTTAATGGTGCTACTGAGATCATCCTCTGTCATTACAACATCGTCTTCAGTTTTATTTTCAATCTCTGCCGATTGTTTTGGCACTTGCTAGAACTTAGATAAGTTTTAGAGGGAGAGAAAATAGAGTGAATTTCAAGTAATGTGGCAAAGCTCGTCAACTTACTGAGGATTGAGTTTGTGTTAGTTAAGTTTTAATTAGACTGTGTACTCTTATATATAGAGGTGAAACATTATCGAAGGAGAAAAAGACAGAGATGCCAGATATCGGCCAATGAATGGATAAAACGGAGAAATGTCAGTTTGGACGGCTCGAAACACTTTCCAGGTAAGGACACAGACTCTTTGCAGATACATTTTACAGATAATATTTTGATACTGTTTCATACAATCAGTTAAACCTGTGACAAGAATTTGAGCAATATTATAAAAGCTTTTTGAGGGTGTGCTTGTGAAAAGAATCTTTATTGACAAGCTTTTAACTTTTTAACAAGATGAAATTGAGCCTCATTAACCTAGCAAAAATTCAAGATATTATGAAGAAAAAAAACCCTAATTATCAAACGAGCTTAGCCTTAACAAGTCGAATCGATCTCACCTTGTTTCATTTAATAGCTTGAGATAGCAAAAAAAAAAAAATGGCATTACTATTTACCGCCCCCCTTATTACTAGTCACCGCCCCCCTTGGACGATTTTGCCCTTTTCATTTCTCAGGTTCGCAAGATGTCCAGCAGTTCAGAGGTAAAAAAAAATAAAATGGTCCGGCCACAATTTTCGCACGGCACCGGCGGTGTCCGGCCGATCGGACCGGACATTCACAAAGGCGTCCGGCCGGTTCGGCCGGACACGCCCCTGGCCGTGCGAAAATTATGGCCGTACGGACCTGTCGTTGTACTAACCGACCGGTCGTACGGCCCACTTGGTGTCCGGCCACGACGGCCGGTTATGACCCGGTCCGGCCGGTCCGACCGGCTGGACACCATTTTTTTTTATTTTTTTTTTTATTTTCTTTATTTTTTTTATTATTAATTTTAAATGCTTTAAAATTATTAAATACATTGCAGGTGTCTTTAGAAGATTTTGGAGGAGATGGTGTTGATTACCGTTCCGCTTTCAATACAACTACGCTGTTTATCAGTGATGTGGAGGCTATTAAGGATGCAAAAAGTACGGCAATTCTGAATGGTTTCTTTTTGACTATTTCGAAACACAAAAAACCCGGAAGGCTGAAGATCTTGAAGTGCGATCGAGGCGAACGTTATAGAGGCAAAAACGTAGATATGAATAAAGCTGTTTCGAGACGTTCAAAAACGAAAGCGTGCTAGTGCCCTTTTGAGATACAAGTAAAGCGTGTTGCCAGATCGACATACTGGATGATCCACACGAGTCAAGACGAAACGAAGGGATACCATAATCATTCATTTGCCGTGTATCCTGAGGGCCATCGACAGTCGAGCGGCATAAGCGTGTCATCCAAAAAAATTATTCGTGAAATGACTGCTGCGCATGTGACACCAGCAAATATTTTGGCCGCCGTCCATGAAAAAAATCCACACGACCATGCTAATCGGCGACATGTATATAACTATAGAGACTGGTTGCGTAAGGAAAGTTTTGAGGGTAGGGACGTTCCTACCCAACTTCTACATTTGGCAAACATCAGCAACTACATAGTTTATACAAATGTCGATCCGAATACAAATGCGCTGACACACATATTCATGGCCCATCCTGATTCAGTGAGTCTATTCCGGACTTATTATTGGTTTGTCGGCATAGATTCGACGTACAAAACCAACAGGTAATTTAAATTTATAGATATGTTATTAGTATTAATTTAAATTTGTATTTTGAATTAGATTTAATGTGATTATAATTTATTTCTTTTTGTCTCACAGGTACAAGATGCCATTGGTCGAGATGATTGACATGACGCCGTGCAACAATAACTTTTTAATTGCGTATGCCCTCATGAAGGACGAGAAAGATGCCAGTTATGATTGGGTTCTCGACAAGTTGAGACTTCTCATAGGCTATACGGTAAGAATTTATATGAAGTACATGATTAATTTAATTAGTATATAAACGTACTTTGTGATATATGGTAAAATAAATTTGAGGTTTTTTTTGCGTGTCTCACTAATATTTGACGCTGCTCAGGTGCATCCTAATGCGGTTGTCAGTGACAGAGAGTTGGGCTTATTGACTCCTATTAGGAGGCATTTTCCCCAATCTGCTCACTTACTCTGCACGTGGCACATCAACAAGGATGTGGAAAACAAAGTGTACAACTTGTTTGGGAAATATAAAAATTTATCTGAGAGGTTCTTGCGCGGTCGGTGGAAGTCAATTATGAATGCCAGTACGTCGGATGAGTACGACACTGCCGTAGCTCAATTGAATGCAAAATACGAGAATGATTCAAAAGTGGTACAATATCTCGAGGAGACGTGGCTATGCCACAAGG